GTACTGTAGTCCGTTGTATGAGTTTCAGATAGTGTTGACAATGTTAGTGGGATATAGATTGAAATAAAGCATGGTCGGTGCACGATTGTGTTGGTGCAAGTTTCTTGGCTATTTTTTATTCAATCAGCGCTAGTCAGTACTTGGAGAACACTCTAGAATCTCATGTAAAAAAATATATAAATATACTAATATTTCTCTTATTGTTCTTCTTACTTTCATCTATCCTTGTTATTTGAAATATAATTTCGTTTCTGTTCAACCATGTTCTGATTTGAGGACTTGTCAATTGAATTAGTGTCCAAGAATACTAAACAATAGGAATAGCTCGGTCTCAATAAGAGAATTTATAACAGGAACTGCGAAAAAAATTAAGAAATACAGTTCTAACACGGTTTCTAGAAGTGTTTGAGATGATAATCAAAATGTTTTAGAAAGTTTAGAAAGAGAAATGACATATGATTTCTACCCATTATATTGTGATCACAGACTACTCAACAAAAGAGTGTCCACATTGTCTAACTCACCTAAGCAATCAGGATAATTAAAGGAATCCCACAAATTTGTAAATAACAGATTATCGCATGTAAAATTATCTTAATACTGTCATTAGTTGCAATAGTAGTTTCACAAGATGGAAAACATAGTATATGTAATCAACTAAATTCTAATCAAAACAAATACGCCTACCGAAATCATGGCTCCAGTTAATTTTGCTTTGGATTATTTAACCTATTCATTATATGTTCATTATATGTTCATTATGCCTATGATAATATAAAATTTTGATAGTATTCTTGTGGTGTGGTCTACTTATATCCATATAAGTAGTATATGGTGTGGGTCAGACATAGAATGTATTTTGGCAGAAGACCGATGAGCAAAGAACTGAAATGAAGCGCAATCGTTTGGAAAATGCATGAGCAATGGAATTAGAGAAAAAACAGTGAAGATTGTGACAATTGGTTGTTAATTTGCAAATTGACTGTTCATTGTTTGGTTATCAGAATTTACTGAGATAGTCTGTAACGTTTGCTTAAATACATTCGATTGTCCCCAACCAGTGTTCTGTTCACTACATTCTGAATGAATCTGATGAAGTTAAATTAACTTGAGCGGTGAAAATCCTTTAGTATTTACTGTTTAATTCTAAACATTTCACTAAAACGAATTAATTATCAATTAGGAAATCGTAGTTGACAGAACATTGCAATTAATAACTATTTCAACAAATGTTTGTTATGAGTATGAACAAATTAAACACTTTTACACAAAGTACCAGTAGAAATGAATCAATTCAAACCCAATATAAATATTTTACTCATATTGTATTGTTGGTAAGTTACGCAACTTGTCTCTTTCCTGAACTAGATATCACCAACTACAGACTCCTCTCTCAGCCTCAAAACGGTATCCGCGGAACTGTAGGACTCTCCACCACCATTCGACAACAGTACCAAATGTCGTAAACGAGAACTAAAGTGAATAGAACGAGTGTTCTATAGCCTAGGTTTTCATATTTATTCAAACCCTTGAGAGTAAGAAACACTCTACTTTGACACTTTCAACTAGTTTAATTGAAAATCAATGAACTTTTCAATAAATCCTAACTTCTGAATCTAATATCTGTTATCATTTTTAGTAAACAAACCAGATAATGCTGAGAAACGTATTATCTCATTTCAATGATGACAATATTTGTTCTACAAAAGTCAATTATCAAAAGTGCAATTCAAAAATATAATAATAAACAATACGTTTGCGAATCTGCTGAAAAGTAAACCAAAGTTTAGGGGACTGAAAGTTCGAATTTCCAAAACCTCTTAGCATACAAAATTATTCTATAGAAGACAGAAATAACTAAAATGTCAACGGGACATAACTTAATTATCTGACAAAATAATCATAAAAAAACTACTCAAGAAGACTACTGTTTTACTATACACTCTCCTAGTTATTCTTTCATATTTAGTGGAGTAATCGAGATCTCTCCTACAAACGACAAGGTCCTACTTTCTGACACATTGATGTTACTCTATAAGTTAACTTTTTTGTTAAATCGGTTAATTCAACGACATAAAACGAACTCTTTTGAATCGTATGTACCAGAAATAATCTCCCTAGCTGTCAATCATTAAACACTTTGTAAGTTCTGGTCACATTATCACAGTGAAATTATCTTTTAAAGTCATCCATATGGTCAAACAAACTGACTAAATGGAAGTATAGATTTTGGACCTTATGCTCTGTAGAGGTTTCAACAATATGGTCAGCCCCTCATTCTACAATTTTATTGACCTCAATTATTATTTACCGTATTTAGCAATCATCTGATATTAATCCTTTTCGATTTTCCTCATAACTGTTACTTTTTTTATTTCATTCGGTAACTTTCTTCTTCATCTTCATCAAATAAACAGTTATCTTTCATCTGCGAACCACTTTGATCTTATTACAATTTTTTATGAAACTTCAGATTACTGTACAACCACGTTTCGTATTGCGATATTTTCAAACAACTTTATTTGTTTAATGGGCTACAATATATGTTAAATGAATCAAAATATTAAAACACAATTATATGAACGAAGAATATTCTTTTCAATAATTGCTCATCAAGTTCAACAATTATCATATTCAAATTAATAATCCATAAAAAGAAGATTGGTCAAGTTTAAGGCGGAGTACATCAATTTAAGAAACTGTAACATGTGAATCAAGGAGTGTTTATAATACAAAATCAAATCGTTACTGTTAGGGTTGACTAATGTGAAGTGTTAACTTGAATAAGTTTATAAGTGAAATAAAATCGTAAGATAAATGATCAGAATATATATATAGTTGACATAGGGTGAGATAGAACAATCGGAACGAATCAGAAATTACGTAATATGTAGAATAATATGAATGAGGTCAGATATAGTAAATAGGGATGGATGCTTAATAAATTTCTCTAAAAGATCAGCAAATGTGATGATGATAATAATAATAGTAATAAGTTTAGGATATAAAAATGAACATTAATCAAAGTCATGTCACCATATTATAAAACTGACCCTGAAGTTGGCCAGAGTAAAAGGAGCGGTTGTATATATTCATTTTGCATGCAAAGCTCTGGCTTTTTGATCCCAATAGCAATTGCCTCAGCCGTTTGCAGGATTTTCAGTCTGACAGAATTAGGTAGAGTACTGTTAACACGATATATTATTGTGAAAGATTGCTCCATGTTGGCTCTATGTCCCATCTGAACTAAATGGGCTAAAATGAGGCTGTTAACCGTATTGACCACACTTTTGCTTAACCACACTGAGAGGTGCTCACAAGCCCGAGTATACAAATTCCTAGAACATCTGCCTATATAACTTGCCCCACAGCAACAGTTGAATTGATAGATACGGAAAAAAGTGACTAGTCTAGGCAATTTATCTTTCCAAATCAGTGTGATCATTGGACGTGTGGAAAACATTATGATTATACAGTTTCAGTAAATGAATTTTATGAAAACAAAAATCTCTTCATTAAATTATCTTTTATATTTCATCAATTATGGTTTATTCCATTGTAAGAACAATACACAACAAATAAATTACTAACCACAAACCCGAATAGAATGGGTTAACATTAAAACAAAACATACTAACAATAAGTAAATAGAAGCAAAACTAATTATAATTTACTTATTTCTAATTCATTATAAATTATTTATTTCGATTAAATAATTATAGCATAGTTACAATGAATAATTACCGAATTCATTTTAAAAATCAAAAAAAATATATAAATATCATTCGAGAAATATTTTATATGTTACCATGGAGATATAAGAGAGTTAACGATTATTATAGGTTTAAGAAATAGGACAAAAGAAAAACAAGACAAAATACAATAAAAACCATTTCAAATATAAAATATTTGATTATATAAAAGAAAGCATATATATACTACTACTATTAGTAGTAGTAGTAGTGGTAGTAGTATGTTTTCTTTTCAGTTCTTGAAAACATTAATAAAAACATCATAAAACCATTGAATATTGAATAAATATTCAATATTCATTAAATAGGAAGAATATATTTGTCAAATCTCAGTGAATAAATTTGAAGTAAATTCAATGTTTCACCTGACAATCTTGTCCAAGTTTTTTTTTTAAAAGAAATATTTCCTGAATAATATTAAATGAGTTGTACAACTTCAAGATCTATCTATGAAAAAGGTTAATATTTCCTTGAAAAAGCTTGAACTAGATCGTTAAGTGAAACATTGGATTTACTTCAGATTCATTCACTGAGATTTGACAAATATATTCTTCCTATTTAACGTCTGACATCAAATTGGCGCCCAAATATTGTGAAACTATTCATCATTTGAATTTAAACGAAAGTTCTTAGAAAATATTCACTTTTAAAATACAAAACATACTGTAGTATAAATAAAATATATTAACTTCTTTAACTCTTCTAAATTTCTTTTTTTTGGGGGGGGGATGGTTCTTAAAATAAATTAACTAATTATTTATTAAATAAAACAATTTGTACTGTCTTATTTAAAAAATAAAAAAATGGATATTTACAAACCAATCAATGAAAGAAAAATTATTTGAAGGGGGTTTTGTGGAGATTTTAGTAATTTTATGCAGTTGAGATCATGAGTCAATTGAAGCTAGACTACGATGGAAAACCTGTAAGCACTAGACGGCCGTTTCGTCCCATTGTGGGACTCCTCATCAGTGCGCATCCACGATTTTACCTCGCGAGACTGATAGGTCCTGGGTTGGAATCTCACGAGGCCAGATCGTGGATGCACACTTCTGAGGAGTCCCACAATAGGACGAAACATCCGTCCAGTGCTTCCAAGTTTTTCATGATGGTCAAACTTCAATTGATTCACGATCTCAACTATAAAAAAATTATTTTTCAATGTTTCATAAATCATAATAAATTGTATATCTTTCTGTTTGTTTGTTTTCCTTCAGTTTATTTTCTGGAATAGATAAGAATAATTTATTATGAATGAATTGTTGGTTTTATAAATGATGTACAACATTTTGGTAATGTTGATATCGTTTTAAATAATTCCATTTCATTATAAGTAGTATTTAAATTTGATTCTTTTGTAAATGTTAACATATTTGTTGACTTAAGATTACATTGAACATATTTTGAATGTTTATTAGTAGAATAAGTAGTATCATTCATTAGTATAGTATTCTTTTCATACAAAGACATATTATTCTTATTTCTATAAGGAATAGAAGTAAAACATCCATTTAAATGATTAGGTAACATACTTTCTGAATGATTCTCATAATTCGATTCTTTCTTAATACCGACAACTTGTGATGACGATGTTGATATTGATGGAGTATAATGAAATCCAAGAAAACTTGGTTGATTTAAACAAAGTTGTTCATTCTTTGAAGTAGATAAATGACTTTTGTCTATTATTCGTTTTTGACATTTATTATTATCCATCCACATGAAATGTGAAACAGGACCACAGATTAATAAACTATTTTGATCATGAGTTTGTCCTTTATCAGTATTCATTTCATCAGGCTGATAATTAGTAGGATGAAGTTTCCATTCAAACTTCTTATGATCACCAATTTGCATGGAGTCAAAAGTATTTTCCTTATTTTTACTTTTCAAACTTTCTTCTTGTTGTTTACGACGTTTTTCAGCAATATAATCAATTTTAGCCTTTCGATATACACTACGTTTTCTTGTTGTATTCAATATGATCATATCACATAGAACTGTTGCTATACCAAGTAGTGCTAATCCAGAACCCAAATTCATTGAAAATGTTAAAATGTTGAATTTACCACCAGTTCCATACACTGTTATGAAAAACTGGATACCATATGCTTTAATCAAATTACGTCTACGTACACCACCGTCAATGTAATGTTGACTAAATCGAAAATTCCATCCCTTCGCAACACTACTCTGAAAGTCGTCTAGTCGACGAAATATATATTTTGGTAAACACTTCTCTTCATCAAAGTCTAGATTACAATTCCATTCAATATGAATCGATACCATACCACCAGTCTCCCATATATCTTTATTTACTGCATCAGAATATTTTAGTATATCACCAAGACGAAAAATTGGGCAATATTTCAATTCATCATCATTTGGATCATATAAACATGTTTTCAAAAATAAATTACTCATCCATTTAAGTATATTCCTGCGTTTTATTCGATAACGTGGAAATTCGATACTGTTTTTCAGTATTACTGTGAAATTTTCAGCTGACGCTAATAAATGTGGTCTGGGAATAACATCATGTTCTGTAGGACACCAACCATATATTTCACAAACACGTAGATTCGTTTGCCTTGTAGAATTCACACATCTTCCTGTTTGGATTCCACTACCACGTTGAACCAATTGTCCAGAGTGACATTGTGAATCATTGTGACAACTATTACCAAATACATCATGAGACTCCTCACAACTTCCCAATGTCTGTCCAGGTGTATATATTAAATTAGTCATCACAAAGAATGCTGAATTCTGTTGTGGTGGTATCACATAATCAGCTGCATCCCAAACAGTGGCTCCAAGTGATGGATTATTTGTCACATTGGCGAAAGCCACACCTTTCAACTTGGCAGTCACTCCACTCACTGCTTGATCAAATGATTGATAACCTTTTTCATAGATCATCACCCACAACACAACATATAGAATAATTCCCAATTGTATCAGTCTAAATGTGACTCCAATTTTCTTTGAATGAATTTGTACCACTTTCTGTGTTTCATATTCCAATAATCCTTCAGCAAGGCTTTTTAAAAATCCCATCAATTCAACAATTTATATAGTAATATGTAATGTTTAACAATGTTCAGTAAAATATTTAAAACCTTTGAAGTTGATTAGGCCTCGAGTTTATTTTTCCAAATATATCCAATCAATATCTGGGAATAATTTTTCCTTTTGCAAATTGTTTTATGCCAATTTGACTTTGTATTTGATTTACATATGAATAAATAGCCTCAATTGGTTATCAGAATGACCAATAGAAGTATGACTGAAAATCAAATTATGTTATTTTCCATAAGCTACAACGATTTACTTATGAGTACCTAAATAGATATTTAAAACATATTTTAGGAAATTACTAATTTTCATAGTTGAAAGCGTGAGTCAATTGAAGCTAGACCACCAGGGGAAACCTGGAAGCACTGGACGACCATTTCGTCCTATTGTGGGACTCCTCAACTATGAAAATACTAAATCTCCACAAAAAACCCTTCTGATAATAATAATCATATGCTCACTAGTGACTGACTTCGAGAGGTAAATCCTGGAGTTCTAGCGAGAAGCAGTGACCAGTGAAGTTCAAATCAAGTCTGTTGTGAGATAGGAACGCACTGAAGACAACTGGTGAACGGTTGCTCAACTTCGTGGGTTGGTTGGAGTTAGACATAAACACCATCGGATGCCGACAAGCTCAGTGGCTTTTCAACAGAACTCCGGAAAATACTCTCTTGAAGCCGTCATTAATGGATTTAAAACGTGTTGAGCGTAAGAAAGTCAGCTAGTGATGACAATGGAAGATGATTGCTCACAAACGCTGGCGGACTGAGGTTCGATTCCGGTTTGTTATGTCGTGGACGAACACCGCCAAGTAGTCCCATAGTAGGAAAAAACAGCCAGCTAGTGCTTTCAAATTTTACTAGTTTTGATCGGTTCGGTATTTCAGTGAAACTTTATATTAATCATCGGTTATCATTTAATCTAGGTTACTAAAAGTTCAGTTTAATACTATTTATAATCAAATACCGAAATTGGACTTTCATAATCACTGTTAATTTGAATTAAATTTCAAAAACATGATTATGGATAAGATTTGGTTCGAATGATTTTATTAGCTTAAACACACTACAGGCTAATTGCATCATACAACTGGTCATTTGAGCAGATAGATATTTTTCTTTAAACTACTTCTAGCTTCAATTACTCAAATACAACTTCTTGTACTAATGATATATCAACATTATCTATCTACTTATCTTCTTGGAATCTATAAAGAAAAAGTAATTAGAATCTGCTTTGTTATTGCTATATGTAGTAATCAGTTAACTATTGAGAAAACAAATTTTTCGGAACATATTTGTTTATATTGGTTGGTTGAGTTTTTCCATTGATGTTTAGGACTGTAATTGATCAGTCTCTTATTGACATATGTATCCAACTCTGCTTATAATGCCTGTGACTTAAAGCAATATCGAAACAATCCTCACAGAATGCGTATATGCCGATAAGAGACTGATCAAGTGCAGTCCTAAACATTAATAGGATGATTCAAACAACTAATATGAAAATGAATTAAACTTCACTGCATTGCACAAGCTAGTAACTGACTTGACTCAGTAGCTCAATGGATAATGCGATGGCGTTTGAAACGAACGGTACTGGGTTTAAATCCGTGAGTGTAAACATCAACTCTTAAATGCAGGTACATCCATTTGACCAGTGCAGAATAAAAACGAAACTTGCTTCCTGGATTCCATTGCTAGCCACCATCCATCTCTGTTTATAATATTTTTTCATGTCACAACCCTGGCTGTCAAGTAAAAATCAAGCAAAATTCAACATATTATTCCTGCATGACTTACAATATCATTTAATGGTTTCGGAAATGAATAATTCAAATCTACTTTGATTTTATATATTTATTGAATGTCAGTCTGAGCAATCACTCTACAGATATCCCAGGAGTCAAATTAGAAAAATGTCACCAATTTTTACAGATAAGACATGAAAAATTAAATAGATTACATAGGTTAATATACATAGCGATATGGATGCGTGGATGGGATTTTACAGGAATAAATATAGTGATGACTATGCAAACTCACAAGCATGCACCAATCGAAACACACTTGACGGAGAAGCTTTGGATGATGTAAAAACCTTTACATATCTGGGCAGCATCATTGATGAACACGGTGGATCTGATGCAGATGTGAAGGCACGGATCGGCAAAGCAAGAGCAACATATCTACAACTGGAGAACATCTGCAACTCAAAACAATTGTCAATCAACACCAAGATCAAAATTTTCAATACAAATGTCAAGACAGTTCTACTGTATGGGGCGGAAACCTGGAAAAATACGAAAGACATCATCCAAAAGATACCAGTGTTTATTAACAGTTGTCTGCGCAAGATACCTCGGATCCGTTGGCCAGACACTATCAGCAGCTACCTACTGTGGGGGAGTACAAACCGGATTTCAGCAGAGAAAGAAATCAGGAAAGAGCGCTGGATGTGGATAACACACATTTTGGGGAAATCATCCAATCGCGTATCAAGACAAGGCCTCACATGGAATCTTCAAGGTCAAAGGAGAAGAGAAAGACCGAAGAACACCGTACACCGAGAAATGGAGACAGGCATGAGAAGAATGAACAAAAGTTGGATAGAACTAGAAAGGAAGGCCCAGAACAGAGTTTGTTTGAGAATGCTGGTCGGCAACTTATGCTCCATTGAGAGTCACAGGCGTAAATAAGTAAATAAGTAGTTATGCAAACTCACAATGTCATTTTATACAATAAGATATAATAAACATTTCTATACTTAGGTAATCTACGTTGCCTTTGATTAAAAATGTAAGTCTCGAATAACTGTACTCATGACTGTCATTGTGAATAGATTAGTATTTGTATAAACGTCTACCAGTTCATTGTAATCGGAACTTTCTGTAATAATTTGAAATATGTTTTCATTGATCATCAGTAATGGTCTGTAGTTTTTAATATTGATAAATGTATGTTCGAGGGTTCCTAATACTAAAAAAACTCATTTCACCAAACAAGTTTCAAAGTCATCTAATATTCACCAACTGGAGAAATTCGTGGTGTAACCAGTCAATATCAGAGCATATTAAACAAATCACGTCGAAATATCCAATGAATGTTTCCCTCAATATATCTTCCTGTATAAAAGAGGAATCGATTGCATCAAAGATGAATGATCACTGACAAAATGATCTACATCAACGTTTGTTGGGATACCAAACAGGGATCTTTGACTAAATGAGAAATTTAAATACTAGTGAGTATGAAGAAACCAGTGTCATTTATTTTAGTATGTAATAAAAATTGTTTGAAAGTAGAAGAATATGATGGAATCCATTGAAACAGTTAATTGGTATTGTCGATACAAATGAAGTAGGTGTGATCGCTAATTGGCTGGAATAAGATAATTGGCGTCACTTAACTCCAAATCAATAAGTCTAAATATATCGTTTAGGAGGGAAGATAAGAAGGATGTCCGTTCGATAGCGCAAATGATTGTGGGTCTTTGTAGTTGACGAACTTTTAACTATAACAAGATATCGTTGAAACCATGAACTGCTCCAAGTTAGACAACTACTGAGAACCTGATACCACTGGATGGCCTTTTCGTCCTAGTTTGGGATTATTCAGGATTGCCTATCCACTATCACACAGAAGGGAATAGAACCCACGACCTACAGTATCGTGCCTCAGTACTCGACCTACGGAAAATTGGATGGTAATCCCCCGGTGTACAAGTCGAACCTCAAACAATCAACGATATTGAGCGACCGTCTCCCACTGTCTTCTCTAACTACCTTCCCCATACACGACATGGTTCGTTGTTTCATTGAAACACAAAACTCTCCACAGCCACACCCTAACTATAACGAAATAGTTGTCCAGTGTTCTCTTACTCTCAATAATTTCTCACGTTCTGTTGACCTTTGGTGTTCAAAGTTATTACCAAATATGTACCGTTATTTACCGTATCACACACTTTTATTGTCAGTTATTGCGGACTGTCAGAATACTATGATACTATGAAGATAATGTTCTGTAGAACAATTGAAAACACATCGGTTATATGCTAACATGAATCATTTACGACATCTTTATGACTACAATCGATGTGTTAATTACAATAACAACCGCCTTACAACGAGACATTCCTGGCAATGCATCGTCGATCAGGTGATGTCACTTCCCCATACAAAATACATTTATAATCATATTCACTCATATTCATTTACTTTCAGCACTGATAATAACGGTATTAAGTATTGTCCTTCATTGTGAAAAACACCACTGAACACCAAATTTATGAAAATTTCTGTTGAGAATAATTTGAGCTTTCAAGTTTACCAGTGTTCTTCACACATTTATAACTAATGATTACCTATTATGTTTTAATTATTAACCACAAGTGAAAAATCTCCCCACCTAATTCTCAGTTCTGGCTACTGATTATTGAAGATTAGATGTAATGCTCAATCGTACAAATATAAGGAAACAGACTAGAAACTGAACAGTAACATTAAAAAGTTAGGACTAGCTGAGCTACAATAACATATCATAAATGCTGTTGTGACTGAAAAACTCTCTTCATATTTGCATTATCGATGAATACTGATGATGAATCATAACTACTTAAAAATATTCACGTTGTTCGGAGTCGACACATTGAAAGTAGGGGAAGAGAAAGAAAAAAAGAACTGGTCTGAATCATCAACCAGATCAACACTTTTATGTGCCATCAGCCATTCGCATCAGTTATTCAGTAAAAAGGCATCTTAGTGGTATCTCTTCATGTCATCAATCCTTAGAAGAACAAAAAAATGTACTGAATGAACGGAATTCAGACAATGTTTATTAGGTACTTCATGAAGTTGGATTTCACAATAAACATGCACTTTTATCATACATTGATCAGTTGTATGAAATGACGCATGACTGAGAGAACCTCCGCTAACAATATAAAGTATGAAAAATGGTTCATAAATATGCCACAGTATATTCAGTTTACCAAGTTGAAACCTTTTCATAAATAGTCAACATACAAAGCACATTTACACTGCTACTCACCTCTACACATTTTACTCAAAATGTGTTTTCTTTTAAAACCTGATAGCTACCTGTATTTCATTGTCTCCAACTAGATGCAATGAGTCAGTGTTAAAAAAAACAATACGTGATAATGTATCAAAATATATAATAATAATTCAAATAATATCGATTATGATGAAAACCAACAGGGGTTTTCTAACAAAATCGGTAACGCAGTACACACGTATTAATAACACTGAAATATTAGTAATTCTCATGCAAGTTTAATAGAAAAGAATAACAGTGTACCAAAAAATCCGTTAATCAAATGGAATAGAAACATGTTCTGTAACAAATGAAGAACAGTGATTGTAAATTTAAATACTAACACTATGACACACTTGCAAATCTCCAACACTGAAAATAAACATTCACTTCCATCTCATTTGGTCTCATTATCATAACTTCCAACACATCAACACACAAATGATGAGCATTCTCATTCGTCGTGAAAACAACAATATGAAAAACTCCAGTTTGTAAATCTTTCAGAAATGATGTCTATTCACTCTGATCAATTGAGTTTATCATGATGAAATTATTCACGAGATCGATGAAGTGAGGACATCTTCTCATCGTCCCATATATTCTGTCTTGGTAATTGAATATCAACATTTTCTATAATCAAGTCTCCCAATATATATCAGTTCAATTGTACTGCTTATTACACATGATGACCGTTCTCCACAAAAGAAATTATACTTTCGAATAAACGCAATCACAACCAATTACAATACCACGAAATTGTTATCATTTACAAAATGATTAATGATATCGAGTATCTCATTCACATCATATCAATGACATGTAACAAATTCAAATTTATATTGATGTATTTAGTTGCATCATCCCATCACCCCACTCTCACCCCTATCTCCGATAGCACCACCACCACCAACAATAACAACAACAACTATCACATTCAAATGTAAATGGAAACATTTCTGAAATAACAATGTGTAATGTAATTCCTGATAATAACATGGTGAAGCCTTGTAGGCCGTTCTGGAGAAGAATGCTACATCAAAGCAAGGCACAACTACCGGAGTTCAACAGCTGCTTTTGCATTGTTTGAGTAGAATCACTACATTTTTCTTTCTTTATTTTTTCTCTTTCTTGGGCAGATCCTTCCCTATTTTTCTTTTCTTTTCTTTCCTTTTTTGGGCAGACTCATTCTCTCCTTCTTTTTGAACCAATAATACTTGTGCAACGATCCTTTGCAGCCTTCGTAATCATTTGTGGGTATAGGTAGAGTGGATGATTAGGCTGATCTCCACCACCCGGGTGACCGCTTATGTTAGCTCATGGAAACAGTTCCAATATCCTGGAGGCACTACAAGGAGGTGTGAGCCGGGTTTTCGCCTCCTGTAATTCCTGAAGAAAGCAATTAATTAATTTTGTTTGTTTGTGTATGCATAATCATAACAACAGTTGTCGTCATGTAAATTTCAGTTAAAAAATATGTTTCAACATCTTTTTGACTAGCATTCGCTTCATATGAAAAGAAGAAATAGTTCAATTCTTGGGAGACTGTAATCAATATGTACTGCCATTTTGTTGTTTCATTTATTACTTAACAGTTTAACAATAAAGAAACAGTGTTATTTAAAATTATTTAGTTATTTCGATAGTGTAATAAGAAGAGGAACATTATAACAACTATGTGACATATTAGTGCAATACATTTCGAACAGTCTGATCATGCATTTTTATATATATAAATGTTTTTAATCAGACTTGGTTTTGTGGAGTTTTGGTATTTTCATAGTTGAAAGCATGAGTCAATTGAAGTTAGACCATCAAGGAAAACCTGGAAGCACTGGACGGCCGTTTCGTCCTATTGTGAGACTGATGGGTCTTGGGTTCGAATCTCGCTGGGTGAGGTCGTGGATGCGGATTCCAACAATAGGACAAAACGAACGTTCAGTGCTTCCAGGTTTTCCTTGGTTGTCTAGCTTCAATCGACTCATGCTTTCAACTATAAATGTTTTTAACAAGTATATGTGTGATCAGATTGTTCGAGATTTATTGCGCTATCATATATCACATAGTTGTGGTAATCTTCATATTCTTATTACACTATTGATATTTATTTATTCTCAAAAAGATTTCTAACAATCTGATCAATTATTGAAGAAAATGAAGTGAATGTAAAAGATTCTATGCGAAAAATAATTTCATCCAGAAATACATATACCAGACAGGATATAACATAGTCTGTTTTATTTCTTGTAACCGTGTGTGTTCATTTCAATATCAAAAGTATCGTAAATTGTTAACAGTAAATCTAGTGAAATGAAACAGTTTAACAATAAATTAAATGAACATACAGACATTATAGTCTTTGAACGATAGTCTCATTCATGACGTTTGTAATCAAATGTTCTTTCTCTATTTATCAAATATGAAACACTTCCTGAATCATTTCACTGTTTCCATGAGCTAACATAAGCGGTCACCCGGGTGGTGGAGATCAGCCTAATCATCCACTCTACCTATACCCACAAATGATTACGAAGGCTGCAAAGGATCGTTGCACAAGTATTATTGGTTCAAAAAGAAGGAGAGAATGAGTCTGCCCAAAAAAGGAAAGAAAAGAAAAGAAAAATAGGGAAGGATCTGCCCAAGAAAGAGAAAAAATAAAGAAAGAAAAATGTAGTGATTCTACTCAAACAATGCAAAAGCAGCTGTTGAACTCCGGTAGTTGTGCCTTGCTTTGATGTAGCATTCTTCTCCAGAACGGCCTACAAGGCTTCACCATGTTATTATCAGGAATTACATTACACATTGTTATTTCAGAAATGTTTCCATTTACATTTGAATGTGATAGTTGTTGTTGTTATTGTTGGTGGTGGTGGTGCTATCGGAGATAGGGGTGAGAGTGGGGTGATGGGATGATGCAACTAAATACATCAATATAAATTTGAATTTGTTACATGTCATTGATATGATGTGAATGAGATACTCGATATCATTAATCATTTTGTAAATGATAACAATTTCGTGGTATTGTAATTGGTTGTGATTGCGTTTATTCGAAAGTATAATTTCTTTTGTGGAGAACGGTCATCATGTGTAATAAGCAGTACAATTGAACTGATATATATTGGGAGACTTGATTATAGAAAATGTTGATATTCAATTACCAAGACAGAATATATGGGACGATGAGAAGATGTCCTCACTTCATCGATCTCGTGAATAATTTCATCATGATAAACTCAATTGATCAGAGTGAATAGACATCATTTCTGAAAGATTTACAAACTGGAGTTTTTCATATTGTTGTTTTCACGACGAATGAGAATGCTCATCATTTGTGTGTTGATGTGTTGGAAGTTATGATAATGAGACCAAATGAGATGGAAGTGAATGTTTATTTTCAGTGTTGGAGATTTGCAAGTGTGTCATAGTGTTAGTATTTAAATTTACAATCACTGTTCTTCATTTGTTACAGAACATGTTTCTATTCCATTTGATTAACTTCACTTTTGATACCCTAGTGCCAAGTTCTGTGTTGCGTTTGTCTTATTGACTTAACCAACTGATAACATAGATTCTAATTCCTGAAGTGTCTTACACCTGAACTAAATACCTGTTCGTCACTTTCTAATTATTCCATTATGTAAATCTTCGAAATACAATACTCATCACAATTCGTTTTATTAAATTACTGTACTGAATACATTTATTGATTACCATCTACTAGATGAAACAGTAAACAAGAAGCTTACGGTGTTTGCTTTTTTTTCAAAAAATAAATAAATTTCCATGGTAATCGTTTTATTAAAGAATTCACATCAATGACGGTGATTATTTTTTTATATATATGAAATTCATTTTGCAATTTGTTGATTCTATTCATTGAGTAACCGAACAACTATCCCCTTAGTGATAATAATGATAAAGATAACAGATATTATCATAAATTTGATTCCAATGAGATTAAAATCTAAATATGCTCTGAATACTTTTCTTTTAAAAAATCAATTTTTATTCGTAAAGTAGTCTTTGTTGTTTCCAATATTGTTGTTTATTAGTAGTATTAATAATAAAAGTAGTAGATGGTGGATTCAATGAGAAAGAAGACTTTTCAAATGTTGTTCTATCAGATAAATTAGAAATCAATAAATGAGGGTTATTAGTTGAAATTGAAGCATTATTGATATTGTTATCTGTTTTATTATTAATTGAAGTTACATTTTGTCGAGATTGTGCATGATGATTAATTGGAATTAAATTTTCCCCTGGTATTTGTGATTTCGTTAATAAATTAGACTGAATGAATGAAGTATGATTTTGCTTTGATTTGATTTTAGGGATAAAGTTTATAGGTGTAACATTTGATTTTCTAAATGATAATGGACTTCTTTCATTAATGAATTGCTTTATTGATTGAAATGAAGATCGACGAATAGAATCTGGTGTTCTCACAAAATCATGATGACGTCGAATTATTAAATGACGTTTCTTATCACTTTTGGTTACTTTAACTACTGGATATGTATTATCGTGAATGTTAAATTTTTCACTAGACTGGTGTATATTTATCTTTTCAGCGATTAAATCAATTTTTGCTTTACGATAAATATCTTTCTTTTCTGTAATATTTAACACAATCAAATCGCATAACATAGTAGCTATACCGAGTAAGGCTAATCCAGAACCCAAATTCATTGAAAATGTTAAAATGTTGAATTTACCACCAGTTCCATACACTGTTATGAAAAACTGGATACCATATGCTTTAATCAAATTACGTCTACGTACACCACCGTCAATGTAATGTTGACTAAATCGAAAATTCCATCCCTTCGCAACACTACTCTGAAAGTCGTCTAGTCGACGAAATATATATTTTGGTAAACACTTCTCTTCATCAAAGTCTAGATTACAATTCCATTCAATATGAATCGATACCATACCACCAGTCTCCCATATATCTTTATTTACTGCATCAGAATATTTTAGTATATCACCAAGACGAAAAACTGGACAGTATTTAAATTTATCGTCGTTCGGATTATATAAACATGTTTTCAAAAATAAACGACTCATCCAATTTAAAATATTTCTTCTTTTCACTCGAAAATGAGGAAATTCAATATTATTCTTAATCATTACAGTGAAATTTTCAGCTGACGCTAATAAATGTGGTCTGGGAATAACATCATGTTCTGTAGGACACCAACCATATATTTCACAAACACGTAGATTCGTTTGCCTTGTAGAATTCACACATCTTCCTGTTTGGATTCCACTACCACGTTGAACCAATTGTCCAGAGTGACATTGTGAATCATTGTGACAACTATTACCAAATACATCATGAGACTCCTCACAACTTCCCAATGTCTGTCCAGGTGTATATATTAAATTAGTCATCACAAAGAATGCTGAATTCTGTTGTGGTGGTATCACATAATCAGCTGCATCCCAAACAGTGGCTCCAAGTGATGGATTATTTGTCACATTGGCGAAAGCCACACCTTTCAACTTGGCAGTCACTCCACTCACTGCTTGATCAAATGATTGATAACCTTTTTCATAGATCATCACCCACAACACAACATATAGAATAATTCCCAATTGTATCAGTCTAAATGTGACTCCAATTTTCTTTGAATGAATTTGTACCACTTTCTGTGTTTCATAATCAATTAATCCTTTAAACAGAATATCAAATAGTCCATTTGTTTGACTCATAATTTCTTAATAATTTTACGATTCTTACTATCAGATTATATAGTTGAGTATTTAGCCACACATAAACACTTATATTCGTACTTCGGCTACTATTTATACCATTACCTATGCTATTACACCAACATAAATCAGGGTTAGCTCTTTTTGATACATTTTCAAATGTACATTATTGGTTAGATAAAATATAATGGAAACAGATTTCATTGTTACACTTCCAAGTGATACTCTTAAAGTACCCTATATATAATAAACAAACAGTAGGCGGATTACTCTATCAAATGATGAATACTATCCTAAACGGGTATAAATCATTTGTCTATTTATTATTTTGATTGTGTAAATTATATACACTATTCAAAGACTAATTCATTATATCATGAAAAGAATATAAATGATATACATTTCCCAATATTGTTCTCTTCTCACTGTTTACATTCTTAACAAAGAATTCAATGCATTGTTAATCAAATAGTTTCTGCTTTCTATCAGATAGATATATTCAATACATACACACCAAAAACTTATAAGGGTGAGTTAATGTTAAACAATGAAAGGTAGTCAAATGACTCCTAATCTGCCTATTGTAAAAACATGTAACTGGGGCATAATAATAATAGTAATAATAATAATAATAATAGTAATAATAATAGTAGTAGTAATGGTAATCATAATAGTAATAATAATATTTTGATTACAACATAATCAATTATTAGTATCTTGTTATTTACAGTAGAACAATATTTTGAAAAATCATGAAAAGGGTATAAAATGGTTATTATTACAATAATAATATCAAATAAAGATGAAATTCTAATATACAATTATGGATGATTGTGAAAAAAATAAAGGTGTAATATCAACAACAAAACAGTCTACATTCACTTAGTATTGTTTTGTTTGAATCTTCCTATTGATGTTTTTAGGACTGCAACTAGTCAGTCTTTAAATGGAATATGTGCATACTGTGTGTATTGCCTCGATATAACCTTAATTCACAATCATTTTAAGCAAAGATAGATAGTTTCAAGAAGTGGAATCCAGAACGTGCATTTCGTCCTATTTGGGACTCGTCATCTGGATGAATCTTCATCTCAGAGTTGATGTTCACTCTGAGACTCTAACCCAGTACCTTTCGCTTCAAACGCCATCGCGTTATCCACTCAACTACTAGGTTCGAGTCGCACAGTGTACATCAACTCTGAGATGCAGGTCCATCCAGATGACGAGTCCCAAATAGGACGAAACGCGCGTCCTGGATTCCACTGCTAACCACTATCCATCTTTGCTTAAAACTGTCTACACTTAATACTTATTGAATAGAGATAAATATTATATTGTCAAGTCATCAATGTTAATACAATTTTATTAATTACGTTTAGAATATTGTGATGTGTGTTACTGATGTCGACAGATATAAGTAGTATGTATCATCAATCGAAAATGAAATGCTTGGGAGCAGAAGGTTAAGAAGATCAAAGGGAAAAAAACGAGGAACAGAGAGAGAGAATAGAGAACGATCGGTGTAGAAACGAGAAAACCGTCAAGTATGAAATAATTGATGGGTATTTTGCGAATGAAGTATTTACTAGATGGTTCTCAGATTTCACTAAGAGATTCTGTAATATTGTGTTCAAATACATATGTTTGTCCCCTCATGTGTTCTCACCCACCACAATATATCTACCAAGCTAACTCCCTTAAAAATGTAGTGTGATTCGTCTCACTGTGCATGTCTTGACGTAACTAGTATAAGCCTTGGTCTTTGTGATTCATGAAACCCTTCAGCAAGATGTGTCAATATGCTTTAAGGAGATGATCATATTGATAACCACTCATAGTCTATTTTTTTTATATAGGTTAACTCCACCTGGAGCCCCTCTAGGGTTACTATCGGATGCAAGCTCGGATAAAGGAAAAGGGTTGGGCATGGGGTTAGCAACCCCATCCCGTAGAAAACAAACTCACTAAAAAAACGCTAATAGGTTGATTGCATCTCAAGTAGTTCAGTCGAAGCATCCAAGACTCCGAAAATGGGTAAGAAGAGCTAAGTTCTGATACTTTTAACTATCTAACAGAAAAGTACTACTGAATGATAAATATTTTGCAAAAGTATTCAACAGTTCACCTGTTGTTTGGTTCACTTTACCGATAAAATAGTTGATAAATGAATATATATCTATAAAATTGCGAATCACAAACGTCTAATCTTTTGTTGAATATAACAATTGGTATATATGTTTGATAGTCTACAAGACTTATCAAAGTGTCAGTGATTAGATATTCGGTAGAACAAACCATTTGCATATGTGATTACGCGCATTGGCAAAGCAAGAGCAGAATATTCACAACTGAAGAATATCTGGAAGTTAAAACAATTGTCAATCAACACCAAGATCAGAATTTTCAATACAAATGTGAAGACAGTTCTACTACATGGGGCGGAAACCTGGAGAAATACGAAAGCCATCATCCAGAAGATACAAGTGTTTATTAACTGTTGTCTACGTGAAATACTTCAGATCCGTTGGCCAGACACTATCAGCAACAATCTACTGTGGGAGAAAATAAACCACATTTCAGCGGAGGAAGAAATCAGGAAGAAGCTTTGGAAGTGGATAGGACTCGCATTGAGGAAATCACAAAGTAAGTTTAATAATTTATTAAAAGAGACATCCTAAAGTTGTGTAAATAATCCTATATAAAAATATCTATGTACATTTTTAAAAAATAATGAAAAACTGGCGATATTACTTACTTAAAGATTGTTTCTGGTAAAAATAAATCAATTCTGTAAAATCTATGAGCTTTAATTTTGATTCAGATAGTAAACTGTCAACTTCAGCGGTATAGGATACTATTGAAGGAATAGTAATCAATGGTCTTCTACAAAGTTTTCTCATAAAACGGTATAATCTAACATCTATAATTTAAATTGCAAACTCGCCTAATTTATTAACCTTTAATAGAATAACTAAATTTTCTCAATAGAAATTCAACAATAAAAGTACAATGTCAGCTTCAACTTCAACGTAATTTTAAGGTGAACAGTAAAAATGGCACACTCATAACTTTAATACTAACTGTTATTCAGCTACATAATACAGTCTTTCAATTATATTACATGACGTTAGATCTTTGGTGTTCTCGAAGTTCATATAGTCATCAGGATTTCTAACGGTACAAATATCTAGATGACTAACAGATATTAATGACCTTGGGTATACTGAGTTACATATTTTAATTGTTTAGCTTTCATTCTTATGTTAGGCAGTATAATGTAACGTAAGTTGCTGGATTCCAGTTCAGTGATCTAGTTGCAAGCGCTCGCTGTAAGACCAAAAATTTAGGAATTTAGTCTTCATTGTTGTCGTAGATGCATACAGCTGAGGAGTGCTACTATAATGCTTCCTGGTTTTCAATGGTCGTGTAGAGGTCAATTCATTGAGTAAACTATAACATCCAACAATTCCTAAAGTACCCATTACTAAAAAATAATCTTGAAAATCCAATATATATATATATACATGAAATGTGCATATAAATTTCTAAGTTCAGTTGATACTGGAGAGCGAGACAAATAACCTTTGTTTCTATCATTTCTAAACATCGCACAACGTTAAATAATCTTTTTGATGAGCACTTATTGATAAATAATTGATAGTAAATGTTCAGACTACTCATAAGTAGCTAAAACAGCCCGTATTAAATTTGAAACTAATGGTTCGTTTAACCTTATCGACACAGAAGGTCATTACCATTAAACTTAATTGATACTAAACCACATTGATGTTAGTTTAAACTACTCCCTCACTCAAATAAAACTCCATGATTGTCTGCATTTGTAAGATGTCTACTTAAAAGATGACTACATAAATCGCATAAATCTATATGGAATTTATTACCGATTTATAATTTCCGCTCGAAAGTTCAATCTTGTAATTAGGTATTGATGACTACTTCCAGTTACTAATTTTAAGTAGATTCTGTCTAGAAAAGAAATACAACAGTGAAAAAATGTTATAACTTGTGGCCAAGTGGATGCCCTTATAACGTATGACGTGATAAGACCGCCAATCAGAGAGCAGTAATTTATATATCGGGACAGTGACAAACGAAACCGTATGAGCAGTCTAGAATATTCATCGATCCTGCTTCTGCCTAGCCCAGTCAGTTAAGTTCAAAACACTAATATAACAGCCTTTGCAATATGAAACACTATTCTCAAACATACTGGGGTTTATATACCAACCAGACTGACCATATAGTACCAATAAAATAGGAAATAACATATGTACGAGATTTGGCCAAATGTGGCTGTGAATGTGGGAGGCAGTAATTAATAGACTAGGGATAACTCAAGAATGGTAAATTGTATAATAATAGTCTATAGATCAAAATAAAGCTTATAATAAGGGGGACACAAATATTAATAGTTTAGTTATTTAGCAATTATACGATAAAAACATATGCATAATACTGGTTCATAAATAGATCCCAAAGTTACCATTTATTATCCATATCGGGGTGTAACAAAAATTATTTTATTCTTTCGATGATCATACAGACAATTTTGAAAAGAACAGATAAACTACTTGATATTCTTCATACATATGCTTTCTACATTTCAGTCGCATGTGACCTCGTGACTATTCACATGTTATAAATATTCTTGTAACTAAATAGTAACCGAATTATGCCACCTAAATCTTCTAACTTGAATTATTTAAAATGTTTTATTGTTGATTTTTGAAGATTTATATGGCAATCTGTCAAAATACCTAAGAAAAAGCAAATCATTCTTCAGTCAATATTCACTTAGTCATTCAACAATCCCTTGTTACATTAGTGACTAACTATTTAAACTAAAGTATACATGTTGTGACTTTAAGCCCGGCTAATTATCATATGATTTATTAGCCAATTGAAATACGAATTATACAGTCTTAGTACTGTGCCAAACACAATGACGTCCGACATGTATGAGCAGCCTAGCGTCCTTATTGGTCATTTGTAAGTTCCAACCCCTAAGAATCTAAACAGTGGTGAAGTTTTCACTCATACTGTCAAAAAAACTTTAAATTTGAATGAAATACTTTACTTATGTTCAATCGTCTCCTTTGGTTTTACAAATTATAACAGTCAGTTATGATAACAAATTTGAAGTATATATCAAATATAAGCGAAACAAAAGCCAGTCATAGTAAGTGTTGATTTAAAACTCCTGTTTTGATACTACTGATGGTTAGATTCTATTTATATCTACTAAATTAGACCATATAGTAGCTTAAGATACATAATATATCAATCAACTAGTGGAAATTGATTATCCCAAAGAGTTTCACATTCTTATTGTTAAAGTCAACAGTGAAAGATGCCAGTGTTTAAATATGTTTAATTCAAACTCAGACCATCAAAAGAGAATGCGCTTTCTTGAGATTAAAGTCTTTCGGCACAGTGTTAAGATTAGAAAACCCGTATTTTGATTGGCGAATAAGCCACGTGATAAAAGTTGAACATAAAATCATAACAATTACACTTCAATTTGATGAAATTGTTAAGGTTACCTAAGTCAGACAATAACATCAATAATATTGTACTTTAGTTACTACCACAATATATTGTGTAACTTAAGATCATGAATTATCAATGGTTATATTTCAATAATTTCATTTTTAATCAATAACCTATGAACGAAATAAATGACAATTTTACCTGATTTACATTTTATTTTATGGATCGATTTTGTTTTGATTTTTCTATTTCTCCTAACGACCATCTACATTGTGTAGTAATTAGGAAAATGTAACTGAAGTAAATTTTTTGTAAAATTTCAAGTATCTACCAGTTATAGACATCTATATATCATGAAATGAATAATTAAAATTCCATTCTTGGTCAGCACAAGCTGATTATCCTACTCATAAAGATTATAACTAGTATGATTATGTCCTGGCTGATACTTTTGGTCATTCCTCCGTTCACATAGTAGATTAATACTAAATATTATGGTGGAGCTATTTATGTTTACAACATTCGTGATCTATAACAGACAATCTATAGAGGTTATTCGTTCACTAGAGACAAACGATACTAGTGTGGTGTGATCTACTTATATCCATATAAGTAGTATATGGTGTGGGTCAGACATAGAATGTATTTTCGCAGAAGACCGATGACGAAAGAACTGAAATGAAGCGCAATCGGTAGGAAAATGCACGAACAATGGAATTAGGGAAGAAACAGTGAAGATCGAGACTATTGGTTGTTAATTTGCAAATTAACTGTACATTGTATGGTTTTCAGAATTTACTGAGATAGTCTGTAATCTTTGCTTAAATACATTCGATTGTCCCCAACCAGTGTTCTGTTCATTACACTAGGTTCGAGTCCCGCATGCAGGATCGTGGATGCTCGGTGCTGAGGAGTCCCTTACTAGGACTTTAGTGAATCCACATTTTCTGTGGTGGTCTAACATGGATCTATTCATGATCTCAATTAAAATTCAACACTATCCACAACCTTATACTGATAATTTCACATAATATTAGCCGTTTCTTTTTACTTTGAAAATAACTTTATAAATAGATCAATGGTAACGATATTGTACAATATTACTGATTAACTTCAAACGTACTTCAGAAACTTAATATTTGTCAACATTTATCAATAGGATTAAATATTTTTCTTAGAACATTTTACGACTTCTACTTGCACAATGGATACTTTAAACAAATAGTTAGAACACGAGTGTTTTATGGTTGAATTCATGAGTCAGTTAAAGCTAGAGCACCATGGAAAACGTGGAACCACTAGACGGCCGTTTCGTCCCAGTATGGGACTCCTCATCAATGCGCACCCAAGATTCCACCTGCGGGATCCGAAACCAAAACCTGTCGGTCTCGTGCGCGAACGCTTAAACTCTACACCACTGAGTCGGCAGCCGATGGTGTTAATGTCTAAATTCAACCAATCTATGGTGGTCTAGCTTTAATTGACTAATAAATTCAACTATTAAATTACTAAAATCTCCACAAACCCCCTTTTTGATATATAGAATAAAACTTGCTTTTTTGTTAACGGTTCAACTGAATATGACTAAGTTACTTGTCATTAAGTGGAATATGCACATCAATAGTTATAACTTCTACTAAACACACTAAAATTATATTACTCTTGGGCTGATAAATATAAATATTTATTTCAGTATTTGCTGATAGTCATTTTATGTTCATAAAAACAATGAGTGTTATCTTTTTCCAACTCATGTAGTATAAAGTCTAAAAATAACTAGCCTGTAAATGTTACCGTTGTTGGTGTTAAAAAGAAAACGAATATCGATCAGTTGCTTTTGGCAATATATGTACTTTAAGTGAAATGCCTCAAAGTTACTATTATAATACAAGTATTTAATCAAAGATGGTGTTATATCTGTGGCCGAGTGGATGACTAGTTGATGTGTGGCTCTATAGAACCGCCTAACAGGGAGCAGCGAATTGTCGATTGGAACAGTGACACGAAACCCGTACGAGCAGCCTAGAGTGCTAACCGGTCCTGCGATCTGCCTAGCCTAGCCAATTAAGTCCAAAACACCAATAACAGCCTCAGTGGTATCAATCATTATTTACAAACATACTGAGTTTTTATACAAACCAAAGTAATCAATAAACTGATTATAACTCAAGAATCGTATGATAATAAATCAAAGGTCAAAATAAAGCTCATGATAAGAGAAACACGAATATGAATAGTTTAGTTACGTAACAATTGTACAATAGGAAATATGCATAATACATTGGTCGATAAATAGACCTAAAAGTTAACATTCGTAATTCACCGGGGGATATAACAGATGGTCAGTGACTTACTATGGGATTTTGGACATGAGTTTCGTTCTATTTGGAACTCATCAGCCTGATGTAACTGTATATTAATAATTGATATTTACTTCGACATTCGAATTTATTACCTTTGGATTCAGACGCTCAACATATTATTCATCGAGTTATTGAAAGCGGAAAGCTACTGGATTGTGCAAAAGGGATGAATTTTATTATATATTTATAAGCTTTTAAATATGTTTGTCAATAAATTGCAAACAATGTTTTTCATTAATGATATCAAACTTTGATCATAGTTAGATATCGTTTAGTGGCTTCTGATTGCAATGATTAATTCACTTTGTATTCTATGAAAATTCAATGATCACCATGATCCTCTTATGGTAAAAAAATATTTTTATCAATATCTCTATCTTTTTAAATTTCACCCAAATTGTATATTCCTCATTACTGGTTGTTAAATAGTTTGTTTACATTACTATACTGATTTATTGGTGTTCATACAATCTATCTATTGATTAGTATCTATAAATACACCGCTTTTCTAACATCGTTTCTGATTTTCGATATCCACTACCGCTCACTTGTGGAGATAAGCACAACAAACTTATTTTGTAAATAATATTTGATATTATAAGCAAGGCAGTGAAATCCAGGACGCGCGTTTCGTCCTATTTGAGACTCGTCAGCTGGATATACCTGCATCGTAGAGTCGATGTTCACTCTGGGAATAGAACCCAGTATCATTCGCTTCAAACGGTATCGCGCTATCCACTCAGGCAATATCGAAGCAGTCCGCACAGAATGCACATATGCTAACAAGATATTGATCAATTTCAGTCCTAAATAACAATAGGAAGATGTAAGTATACAACACCAAATGTTGACAAAAAACTACTTAAAATTCTATGACCTTGAATACTTCCTCTCTCGTTTTTTAATACTTCATATCACGACACACGCTGCAAAACGCTCATAAATACACTGTTACATACACGTCTCTCATTCTCAATCGTCTGTTGTTATGATAACTGAACTCTAAAATATCTATTATCTACATTTCTAGACTACAGCCATATTTCAATTATATACTACATCTGGCTATATTACTTGAATCACAACAACCTCATTGGAATTAATAATTATCTATAATTGTGGACGTTGAAACCATATGCAGCTCGACCACGCCAAAGCCTGCCGATTAAGTAACGTTACACAACTTTTCTTTGTGCTTATAAATTGTGATTGATATATTATAACGTCAACTTTTAGACATAACAATTTTATTGCCATTTTCGAGTTCATACAATTTTTGGTCCACCACAATCATCTGGTGAGCCCAGTGTTTATTCTATTTTCTATAATGTCTATTTTACCTGACTCGTTAGTTTATTTTTCATACAATCTACTCTCCGAATAAAATAAGCTATTTGGAAGGTCTTCCTGTACCTTCTTGACGATGGATGTAGTAGTTGTCCACGTTTCAGCTCCGTACAGTAGGACTGTGTTGATGTTTGTATTAAAGATTCTCACTTTGAAATTAGTTGAGAGTTGTTTTGAGTTGCATATGTTCTTCAATTATAGAAATGCTGTCCTTGCTTTGCCAATCCTCGCCTTTACAACTTCGCCTGTAGCTCTTCTAGAGTTATTGCCGGTCCCAAGCCCAGATAAAGGAGGAGAGTTGGGAATGGGGTTAGCGACCCAATCCCGTAGAATAACTGACTTGCTAAAAAA